GGGGAATGGGGTGGTCGTGTGGTTCCTGGGCTTCCACACAAAGCAGAGTCCTTTCACTGTCTACATCCTGAATCTGGCTGTTGCTGACTTCTCCCTGCTCCTTCTGTTTCTCCTGATTATGTTGGCTTTTCTGACCTTAGCAACGTTTTGCACGTCTTTGTTTCATCTTGCTCCTCTCTACATAGATTTAGTGTTTGTGGTGGAACTCCTGTGCCACCTGTTTGACCTGAGCAGCCTGGGGCTGCTGGCAGCCCTCAGCGTGGAGCGCTGCGTCTCCGTCCTCTGCCCCATCTGGTACCGCTGCCACCGCCCCCGGCACCTCTCGGGCGTCGTCAGTGGGGCCCTCTGGACCCTCATGGGGATTTTAGTGTCTTCTGCCTACCTCACTTTTACTGAAAAGTTTGAGACTATCCTTGCAGGTGTTGTCTTTGTGATTTCCCTGATTTTGTCCTTCGTGATGTTGGTTTCCAACCTGCTCCTGTTCCTCAAGCTGCGTTGTGGCTCCCGGAGGCAGCAGCCAGGGAAGCTCTTTGTGGCCATCCTGCTCAACATCCTGCTGTTCTTCTTCGCCTTCGGCATCCCTTTCTGCATGGAGGTTTTCCTCCATCTCCCTGATTCTGGCGCTTTATTCCCAGAAGACCTCTCCTTGTTGCTGGCCTTGCTGGACTGCACCCTCAACCCGGTGATTTATGTGCTGGTGGGCAGCTGCCGGCAGCGCCGCTTCCAGTGTTCCATCAAAGTCGCTCTGCGGAGGGTGTTTGAGGAGAAAGCTCAGAGTGACGAGGGGAGCCACGGCCCTGGGGACACTGTGGTGGAGGTGACAGCTCTCTGAGGCACTTCTGCACATGAGGCACTTCTGGAGATGTGGCACCTCAGAGAAAGCCTGAAGTATGGAGACAAGGGCACTCCATGCAGCATAACCAGGCTCAGTCCTGTTCCTCACCTGTATTGATTCCCCATGGAACTACCCTGACTCCCCCATCCATTGGGAATAAACTCTGTTGGTGAAACAAATTCTGCAAAAATCGGCATAGCAAGGGTGTTGGCTTGGTGATGGTGGGATTTGGAGTTTGAGTGCTAAGAGATGGGTGAAAATTACAATTTGGGGAAAAGGGTGAGGAAAAAAGAGAAAGAAAGTGAGAGAAAACGGAAAGGGAGAAAGGGGGTGAGAGAGAAAGAGAGAAATGAAAAAAATACAACAAGGAGAAAAGGAAATTAAGGAAGAGAATGAATGGGAGAGAAATGGAAAAAATAAGAAAGTACAGGGGAAATTAAAAAATAAAGATTCAGAATGACAAAGGGTTTGCTTGGGCAGGACAGATGAAGAAGGATATCCCTGGTGTGCTGAATCCCCATAAATAGTTGGGTCAGTTACATAGGGGCTGGTACCGCTCCCTCTGGAATCATTGGAGGAAAAGTTATTCACCTAAGGACAGCAGTGTTACACCGAAAACCACCTGGAATTAGGTGTTATAAAATAAACTTGGCTTTTCTGTCGTTTTTCAGTAGACACTGACTGAAATGTTCTTCCTCTGCCTTAAATTTAAAAAAAAAGTATTTATCTGAGTTTACATTCTGCATGTTTTTATCATCTGATAAATCTGATAACAACAAAAACAACTTTAAATACAATTTTTATCCCCGTGGGGAAAAAGAAACCAAACAAAAAAGAGAATTCCAGTCTTTTTAACAATAGAAAAATGTTTCATTTCTCACAATGATAAAGCCATTTGAGACATCAAAACCAGAACATTTTGAACATGAATTGTGAGGTTTTTCAAAGAAAATTACCCACATTGACTTTTTCTAATAACTTTGGTTAAAAGAATAAATGTAAGGTAGTCTGATAGCACAAATAATCCCATTTTGCCCCTCAAAGGATTTGTTTTAGAGAATAATTTTTTGAAAATCATGGTATTTATTTACCTTATTCTGTTTCCTGTATTTTTCCCACTATCTTTTGATTTATTTCTATTGGTAAAGGAGATTTAAAAGCTGTGGATTCTGATCTGTCCTTTTAAGGGAAGAAATTACAACCTAATGCATGATGTAGATAAATGCAGAGACTCTGCCAAGGGCAGGAGGAAATTAAAATAACATGCAACAATATAATAATATAAAATAGTAATTTCCAGTCATGTATTTCTTTGACATACAAGATAAGCAAGGATAAAATTCAGTTAATAAATTTTTAAAGCAAGTTGGAAGGCGTTTTCTGCTCTGTGGTGTGGAAACATCCCTTGTTCAGAGAAGAAAAGGACTTGGTGGATGTGAAACTTTTCAGTCCTTGAAATGCTCACATTAGAAGCCCAGAATAGCTCTGTGAGCCACAAAAGGCTGCGTGTGTGCTCAGACATGGGAATTCTAAGTTAGATAGATGGATTCACTTTCCAAGAATTTTATGTCTGCTTCCAACAGGATTGTTGATACCATTTTCAGAGATCTGAAATTATTTCATTTTCAGAGATCTGAGTGAAAAGCAACACAGAATTTATGGGTTTATGAATGACAAGGATTTATCCTGAGTAGGATTTCTTTGATGAAATTCAGACACCAAGCCACTTCAGCCTTATCAAATTAATATTATTTAGAAGTCACTGGAAAGAAAGAAGAACTTTTAATGTGTCCTAAATATAGGTCAGGTAACTTCTGTGATCCAGGTGCTTATGTGCCACAGATGGGGACTTAAAATAATGACCTAAAATATCTACAAAGAGGGTACTGAGGGTCAGGTGAGATGAACCTTTCCCAGAACTTCAGAGTTATTCAGTTCTGCCAAGACATTCCAGGCAGGATTTTAGGAGGACATGGTTATCGTGTCCCGCGTTTCCCGCTCATCTCTCTCATCCGCTGAGTCTTGGAAGGCCCTCTGGAATGCCAGCCTAAGGGTGAGCCTGAATTTCCGATCCTTGTAGCTTCCCACCAGGAAGTAAATGACGGGGTTGAGGGTGCTGTTGATGCAGGACAGCACAAAGCCAATCTCTGGGGAATACATGAACTTGTGGCCCAAGAAGTCCAGGAGGATGAGGACACTGAGGGGCACAGCGAAAATGAGGAAGAGGAGGATGGTGAGCATGATGATGGTGAAGAGTCGGCCCGTTTGGAAGGACTGGGAGCTGCACTTGACCCTCAGAAAGAGGGTGAGGCTGAAGATCAGCATGAGGGGCGCGCAGACGAGGAAATCCAAGGCTCCAATGGCGATGAGCAGGCGCTGGCAGACCCTGTGAGAGGGGCGAACGGTGCACAGAACATATCCCAGAGTGTTCAGGAGCAGGGACAGGGCCCAGAGCAGGCCGGACACCACGGCAGACAGATGCTTTGGGCGGTGTGTCCGGCACCAGATGGGAGACAGCACGGACAGGCAGCGCTCGATGCTGATGGCCGTCAGCAGGTACAGGCCCGTGCCGTACATGAAGAGATCCAGGAAGAGGAATATCCCAAACTGCACCCCCACGTTGAACTGCATCAGGTACTGCACGGTCTCCACAGCGATGCACAGCAGGTACCCGAAGTCGGCGGCCGCCAGGTTCAGGATGTAGACGGTGAAGTGGTTCCTGCGGATGCGGAAGCCCAGGTACCACAGGACCAGGCCATTCCCCACCATCCCACAGGCAGCACTCAGCAGGCAGAAGCTCTCCATGAACTTGAGGACAGTGTAGGATGGCTCGGGTTGTCCCACAGCCCCACTCTGGTTGGTCCCAGGAGCATGGATGGCTGTGGTTGGAAGGAGGATTGGTGTGGCTGAGGGTCTCATAATGGGTGACTCAGACCTGGGAGCAGAGAGGGGAGAGGTGATAGCTCCAGGGTGATTTTTCTACAGGGATTCCTTGGTTTGTTCCAAGGCTTTGTAGATAGAACTTGACTTCATGGAATCTCAAAATAAATCGATTTGGAAGGGACCAAGAGACTGCAGTAAAAGGGCAAAGGGTAAAGGCTTCACACTGACAGAGTGTGGATTTAGATGGGATATTGGGAATACTTCCCTGGGACAGTGATGAAGCTCTGGCATAGGATGCCCAGAGAAACTGTGGCTACCCCATCCATAGAGGTGTCCAAAGCCAGGCTGGAGCAAACTGGGATAATGGAAGGTGTCCCTACCCGTTGCAGGGGGTTTGAACTGGATGATCTTTAAGGTCCCTTCCAGCCCAAACCACTCTGGAATTCTGTGATTCCATGAGAATAACTGGTTGTATTTTACACTGATGAGTTATTTCTGTTTTATTAAAATGCCATTTGATGTGGTTCTCCTGGGTCCCATGTACAGTAACAAATAAACATTTTGGTCTGGCAGAGCTCTCAGCTTCTCCCTCAGAAACTGCAAGAACCACATGTAAGAAACCACAGATTATCTTGTCCTCACAGGACATGGGAGTTGTGGTTCTGATAACTTTTCCACATTACTCCATGAGTTAAGTCACTGTTTCCTTCCCTGTGGTACTGAGATCTTATTGAGAATCTTGGAGGTGAGAAAAAAAGGGTTTAACACATTTTATATGGCCTGATGAGAACAAATACAGTGGTTTTTCTGCTGTCTCCCAACCAGCTGTTAATTCAGACATGGAAGGCAGAGAAGTTAAAAAGAGGATAGGAACAAAAATCGGGGTTTTCTGGGAAGATATGAATCACTGAACCATGTAGCCAGCATGAATCCTCTGTTCTCTCTTTGTGGTGCAGCAGCACACATGGAGACAGACTTCCAAAAGTACCCAGAACGTGACAGACTGAATCACTGCTGTTCCATCCCAACACCCCAGGCACGTCACCCCATGGACAGAGGGAAAAGAAGTGTGTGGTGCAGGGAATTTCAAGGACAGGTTGGATGGGGCTTGGAGCAGCCTGGGCTAGTGGAAGGTGTCCCTGCCCATGGCAGGGGGTGGGACTGGCTGGGCTTTAAGGTTCCTTTCAGCCCAAATTATTTGAGGATGCTATGATTTCCTTTAGGGTTGATTGAAACCAGGGAACTTCTGACACTGCAGAGCTGGATGATCCCATCTTCAGTTCTTATGGCACCTTGAGCACTTCCAGCATGAACACTGTGGAGAGCAGCCCTGTGGCTGCTCCTCCCTCTCAACCTGCTCCAGGGGTGGCCACAAATGATCAAATTTTTTCAGAAATTAGCAGAAGTATCCTCAAGTTCTGTGCAGCTTTTCTGCTGTGAGAACAGAGGAAGGCCTGGTGGTTCAGTGGTTTCCTGGCTTCTGTGTGACCAAATTTCCACTCGATCTGAAGAGACTGTGAACATTTAATGTCACCTAAGCTCTGTCTCAGCTCACTGCAGCCTCCACTGGTGCATCTCTCTCCACTGGGGATTGATGACAGGTGATAATTCTCAATGTTAATTGGCTTTGTGCCATTGATCATGTCATAGAATCATGGAATGGTTTGGGTTGGGAGGGATCTTAAAGCTCATTTTGTTCCAACCTCCTGCCACAGCAAGGGACACCTTCCACTATCCCAGGTTGCTCCAAATCCCTGCCAACCTGGCCTTGGACACTTGCAGGAATAAGGCTTCTCTGGGCAATCTGTGCCTCACTACCCTCACAGGGAAGAATTTCCTCCCAAGATCTAATTCAAATCCACTGTCTTCCAGTTTAAAACAACTCCCCCTTGTCTTGTCACTCCAGGCTTTCCCCAAAGTCCCTCTCCAGCTTCTTGGAGCACCTTTAAGCACTGGAAAGTGCTGTATGTGCATAAAGACTGCAAAAAGATAGGAACAGAAATGGCTGCAATGGGTAAATGACAAAACATCAATAGTTTTGTCTTCTGCTGTAATAGAAGTGATGAAATCCTTCTCTTATTTCTCCAGACTGTGGAGAAGAACACTGTAAAAGT